CATGGGTTAAATCACATCTCTGCTACTAGTAAAATTACCTTACATTTGTATCTATGTTACAGGGGTCTGAATAAATTGTGCATGAATGAGACTGGCAGAATTACCCCACTGTAGAGCTCTTTCTTCCTTTCTTTCCCCACCAACACAGATATAGATATCATCAGGGCTTTTTTTCAGCAGGAACGTGGGGGAACACAGTTCTGGAACCTCCAGCACTGCATGTATGTGATGGCATGGGGTGCTGGGGTGTGCTGAAGGGCATTGATACAGCACTGAGCAAACCTTTTAGCACTATATAAATACTGTATAATAATGATAATAATACTTGCTGCTAGGGGATCTATTGTTGCTGTAGGGGATTTATGTCTGAGTGTGGGTATAATGTTGCTGGTGGGGATCTGTTGATGTTAGGGGGGTCTTATGTTTCTGGGAGGTCATTTGTTGCTTGGAGGGATCTACTGTTGAGGGATGGGTCTATTATTGCTGGCTGCTGGAGGGTTTAGAGATCTGTTATTGCTGCTGGGAATCTATTGTTGCTGGGAGCATCTGTTGTTGCCTGGGGGTGTGTTGTTGCTGGCTGCAGGGGATCTATTGTACTGCTTTTCTTGTTATCATTAACAAATTTCAAATGACTTAGCACCACAATATGATACTTGGTTCTGTATACTCTACAAGGGGCAGTACTGGCAGCTTGGTAGGAGGTTGAACCATAGATGGGTGCTTGGAGGAGGGTAGGAGGTGGAGACAAAGGTGACTTAGAAGGGGGGAATTCCTGCACCTATTCCCTGAAACAAAAAGCCCTGGATATCATTATGGATTTTTCCACAATTCCCATAGCATCACAAGGCACACCATACACATTACACTCTGACCATACAATGTCTGTACAATTTATCAAAACTATGTAATAAAAGGACCTACTGGAACTATCCAATTAAAGTGGTTCTAAAGGCTGAAGGTTTACAAAACCTTCAGTGTACAGCTCCCCCCTCTTGTACTTACCTGAGCCCAATCTCGATCCAGCTATGTGCACAAGAGCAGTGGCTCTCCTGGGTCTGTCAATCACAGCCAGTGATGAAGGAGCTTAGCAGGCTGGGCAACACTCTGTGTCTTATGGACCCACAGAGGAGGCTCGGGAGTGAGCATGCATGAATACTCCCAAAGCAAGCAGCTTGTTGTGGGGACACTTGACAGGGGGAAGAAGCCAGAGATGCCGGCGAGGAACCGAGGAGGACTGGGGCTGCTCTGTGCAAAAAAAAACAATACACAGAGCAGGTAATTATGACATGTTTATTATTTTAAAAAATACAGTCCCTTTAATCTGTATGCAATTAGGCAAACCCTTCCACTACATACTTATTTGTAGATCTAAAGGAGATTGAAGAATTAGAAAAATCACGTCTCAGCCCAATCCAGTTTATGTGGTTAAAATGTGTAAGATGACCTCAACCTTGCACCACTCCACAAGCCACTTGTTATGTTCGAGATGAGGGGGTGCAGAGGAGGGATCATTTCGCACATGGTGAAGAGCTGCTTTAACTAAACCTTCTGAGTCTCCTCCAAATTCTTCTTTTTTTTTTGCTGTGATTTGACTTTCTGTGGCTATGCTTGTTCTCTATGATCCTACTGTATGTATAGATGTAGATGGACTAGGGGCCATGGGATTTGAAGCCACCGTCTCATGCTCTCACTCCTGAGATTTGGACTAGGGGCCATGGGACCTTTTGAAGTGCCCATCCCCCAATCCCTCCCCCAGCCCTGCCCCCAACCACGCCCCCTTAAAGCTTATGAAAGTACATTTTTCTTTAGAATAAAGCATCCAAAATACAAAAAACAGCAATTATAACATAGCTTTATTATGTCAATTTAGACATAACATCAATAGCTTAATAGCAATAGGGTGCAATTACAGCCAATAAGGAGAGAGATGGGCAGGGACGAGCTGCGGCTCTGCATGTGAATTGAACAGGGTGCCCCATAGCAAGCTGCTTGCTCTGGGGCAGGGGTAGGCAACCTGAGAGCCGCAGGAGTACAAGTTCCATCATGTCTCTGCAAGTCAGAGCTGTGTCCGTTTTGTAATCTTTGCAATGCCTCATGGGAAATGTAGTTCCACAATAGCTAGAAAGCCACAGGTTGCCTACCCCTGCTCTGGGGGCACTCAGCAGGAGGGAGGGGCCAGGAGCGCAGGAGGGGGACCCAAGAAGAGGAGTATCGGACCTGCTCTGTGCAAAACCACTGCACACAGCAGGTAAGTATAGACATGTTTGTTATTTTTTCTTATTCAAAATAAAATCACTTGAACCTCTGACAGGGGGAGCTTAGCCACACTCTGAAAAGCAATCCACCATGGATCACTTTTCAGAGCAATGAAATAGTGTGAACCTACCCTAAATGTGTGGAGATCTTTGAAAAGTCAGTTTACAAACTTCAGAATAATAGGAGCAGAGTGGGAATAACTGAAATCCAGTGTGAAAATCAATGTATGCTTTGAGGCCAGACCACAGAAGCCAAGAGTTACCCCACAGAGATGAAGGCAGCGCCCCCTGTCAGGGCCCCCTCACCTGCACTCAGTCAGGCCCAGGATACTCCATGCAGATAGGTGACCTGCCCCCAATCCCATGCCCTGTCCACTGACACTCACCCTGTCACTGCTGTTGTCGTGCTCAGGCTCCCCCGGGCCTCTCCTCCGGAGCTCAGACATGTCGCTGTGTGTGGTGATGAGGGCTCCGGATTAGCAGCAGATAAATAGATTGAGGAATCAGTGGGGAGGGGGCGGGTCCTGGCACTCCTCTACTCCCAGCCCGTTACCAAGGGACACAAAGGGCTTCACTGCTAGTAAGGGCTGTCCTGGAGGTGACGGTAAGCTGCACCTTCCCCTCCTCTCCTCTCTGACAGCAGGGCGGGGCGAGCTCAGTGAGGAAGGGCCACTGTCCATTCACATTATACTGGGAGTGGCTGTGTGCAGACCGCACCCCCCGCACCTGCCTCGGGACGCGCCTGCTCGACACACAAAAATTTCCACTCACATTGGGCGAGCAGCTTTTTCAAGCCCTCTTATAAAAGATGTTACAAGGGGGAAAAAAGACAGTAAGGGCTCATTCACATTTGACTAATTTCTAATTCTTGCCAAACGCCCCTATAGCGTTTGACAGGCATTAGGCAGGAGTTTGGGAAGCTTTTTCAACGCTCCTCAAATGCTCCCCAAACGCCTAATGTGCATTTTTGAGGCGTTTGATAGGCATTTTCCATGCATTAAGACCGCACCACAAATGCCTATCATGAATTTTAATGGTATTAATGCTCCGCAAACACCTCACAACCACCTCACAATCGCCCACCAGCTGTTTGAGGAGAGTCACCATAGACTTGAATGGGAGGCTTCAACTTCTCCTGATTGGACATGAGGTGTCAATTTTGCTGCGACGCTAAGTCTTCAGTGTGAACAGCACTGTGTGCTGCCATGTGTAGAACTTTCATAGGCGTTTGAGGAGTGTTAAAAACGATTCCCAAATACCTGTCTAATGCCTGCTAACAAAGCTAGTGTGAACTTAGCCTAAGAAACAATGTCATGAAAAATAGATTACAGGGTCATTAAATTGTGAGGCTGCCCAGTGGCTAAATGGTTAGCACTTCCACCTCTAGGTAAGACTCTTCTGATGTGGTTTGTTATTTAGTAGCGGCTTGACAAGAGGAATACGACATTTGAAGCCCATTTCCAGGATCCGTCTGTGTGTGGTGGCTCTTGATGCACTGACTCCAGCCTCAGTCCTCTCCTTGGGAAAGTCCCCAACACTTTTGAATGGCCTTTTCCTGACAATCCTCTCCAGGCTGCGGTCATCCCTGCTGCTTGTGCACCTTTTTCTTCCACACTTTTCCCTTCCACATAACTTTCTATTAATGTGCTTTGATACAGTACTTTGGGAACATCCAACTTCTTTTGCAATTACCTTTTGAGGTTTTCCCTCCTTATGGAGGGTGTCAATGATGGTTTTCTGCACAACTGTCAGGTCAGCAGTCTTTCCTATGATTGTGCTTCCTACTGAACCAGACTGAGAGACCATTTAAAGGCTCAGGAACCCTTTGCAGGTGTTATGGCTTAATTAGCTGATTAGAGTGGGACACTTTGAGCCTAGAATATTGCACCTTTTCACAATATTATAATTTTCTGAGATTGTGGATTTGGGGTTTTCATGAGCTGTAAGCCATAATCATCACAAATATGACAAATCACGGCTTGAACTATCTTGCTTTGCATGTAATGAGTCTATCTCATATATTTGTTTCACCTTTTAAGTTGCATTACTGAAATAAATGAACTTTTGCATTATATTCTAATTTTTCGAGTTTCACCTGTATATGTATGTATGAATGTAAGTTAGGGACCTTAGATTGTACACCCCTTGAGGGTTAGGGACTGATGTGAATGTTCAATATATATATGTAAAGCATTGCATACATTATATTTATAGTATATAAGTACCTGAAATAAATAAATAGCAGATGTGTATGGATAATTTGTGATAAATAAGGATAATGTTTAGTGTTACTTTAAGGAGAAGAGGAAGCACTGCAGAACTTCATTCTGATTCATTTGGCTTTAGAGAAAGTTTAAATGAAACCATTTTGAATTCACTAAACAAACAAGGAACAGATTGCTAATGTCCTAAAATAAAGTGATACAAAATTTCTAACTGAACTATACACCTTATTTTCTCAGTACCTTGTCTCGGCACAGCAACATTTCCACTAGTTCATCTGGTACTCCTGTGCATAGTGAGAACAAATGTATCATTTTTTTCTTACCTGCTGCAGAAACAAATGTGAATGAATGATTTATAGCAACACATAGAATGGGCTTGTGACACAGATGACCTGGGGGTTCACTTCCCACAGACAGACAAGAGTATGGGCGTTTTCTGTCCCGCCTCCTCCAGAGCTTTGTATATAATTAGGCGAGCACAGGGTGATATGTTGTAGTAGAGCAGTGTACTACGATGAAGATGTGGCTGAGTTCTGTGCTGGTTGGAGTGTTGGCTGGAATCTGTGTCGCACAGTTTAATCCCAATGTGAACTGTGGAAGGACAAGTATTGTCCACTTGTTTGAGTGGCGGTGGAAGGACATTGCCGCAGAATGTGAGCGATACCTAGGACCTAATGGATATGGAGGCATCCAGGTAATGAGTGACTCATTGACTGATTAGCTGAACTAGTATTGCATGGGCTTTGTTTTTTTTTTTATTGCAGCACATTGTTAAGTCTTCATGCACACGGGTGAATTTGCCCATGCAGTGTAAGGAGGCTGCGTATTTTTGGTGTCCAGGATGTCCTGGAGCTGCAAACAGTTGAATAAGGGCTTTGTGCACTATTTGGGTAAAGTAGTGCATGGGGACAGACGTCAGGACAATATGTCTGTGTTCAGCCTCTTTCACCTATTCGTGTCAATGGATGGGTGTACATAGTTACCAAACACCAAAAAAATGCACAGCCTCTTTACACGCATGGGCAAATGTGCTCATGTGCATGTAGCCTTAGAGCTTAGTTGCTTGTAAAGGTACTGGTGTGGCATACGGCATGTGATTCCCACAGGAACTGCACACCTGTGCAAATCACATGCAAATTACAGTATTTGTGGTGTGATTTGAGCCATTTTGTACCATGTACCCCATGCTCGTTCACATAGAGGGGGGGATTGGGATCTGGGGGCAGATCTTCCAGATTCCGATAAGCCCCCTGCTTTCAGACCCCCACAACCATCAGCCACGGTTGTGGGAAAGAGGCCCTTGTCTCCATCAACATAGGGACAAGGTGCTTTGGTGGGAGGCCCCCTCTGCCCCAAAGCACTCCCCCATGTTGAGAGCATCTGGCCTGGTATGATTCAGGAGGGTGCGGGTTTACTTCAAAATCCATACCAGACCCGAAGGACTTGGTATAAATGGGGGGGCCCACACATTAAAATAAAAATAATTACCAGGTAACTCTAGCAATTCTTTTTACATTCAGCTGTCACTGGAGAACCATGCTGACAGCTGCTACATTAAATGTTTTTTAGTAGCTGTGCGGTATCTTACTGCTTAGTAAATTGTCCCCTCTGTTGATCGTGAACCAAACAGGGGGGTGTTTTGCCCATCACTAATTACATGTAATACACTATGCCAAATGATTGACAGTTGGTGTATGTCACGGATCCAAATGCACACGCCCACAGCAACTAGCTATCGAGGCTTGCACGTCCGGCCATGACTTGGAGTAAAGAGGGAATGAGGGGGACTTACTTAGAACATATAAGACTGGCCGTGATACACCATAAGGGCATGAAGATGTGAGTAATTTACAAGGCTGTTAAGGCCTTAGTATATTGTTTTTTCCTTTTAAAATAGTAGGCCATATAGGCCAGTTTTTTTTTTTTTGCAAGTAGGTCGCCCTTTATAGGGTTTAAAATGATATGCCTTTATGCTACGGTCGTACCAGTTTTTGTGTTTCTGTTACTTACTGCGGTGTGCCCTGGAGAGGTATCCAGTTTCTATTTTGTTTATTACCAGTATGATGGCTTATGTTATTTATTTTGTGTATTTTTTTACTTTTGTATAAAATTGTATGCTGGTTGCAAGATCTATTTTGAATAAAAATATTTCCAGCTATCCTACAAGCTAGAACCCCGGTGTTAATCACTCTTCCACTGTCCACACCCCCCCCACACCAGACACACAACAAACGGTAGCTTGCCACCACCCAACAGTTGACCAGCAGACTGGTCTGCTGGGCCACCACACACACAGATCTCCATCTGGCAGATGGATGTCCAAAATATTTGATTGCTGATTGCAGTTCATTGTAAACTTTAAGTTTAAACTGTTACACTTAGTGGTTGTTCAAGGTTTTTTTTTACCTTCATGCATTGTATGCATGAAGGTAAACCTTCTGTGTGTAACAGTGCCCCTGGCCCCCTCAATACTTTCCTGAGCCTCATCGCGCTGTGAACGACTGTCTCGGGTGGCCTGGGTCCTGCCTCCTCCTTGGCGGAGACAGCAAGCGATAGCCATTAGCTCTCACTGCTGTCAATCTGACAGTCAGCCAATGAGAGAGTGGGGAAAGAACAAAAAGAGGGCGCACAGGCCTAGTGCATTACCATAAAAAATGTTTAATAAAAAATAAAGTAGGTGTTGTACTCACAAACGACAATATAGTCAAGGCACATCATAGAAGAACAGCTGGATCAACACCGCGCGCTGAGTAACAGTCCACAATAGGGAGTTTAGACATCCAAAAGGCTGACGCGTTTCGAGGACTTGCCTCTTCCTCAGAGCCAACTGACCAAATGTCTGCTCCCTCTTTTATATGCTCACTACTAGTTAAACCAAAGGTCACATGGGCCGTCCTGGACACTCCCCTGTGCAGGTGGAGAGTCACAGGGGCAATCGACATAATGTAAGTAAACACGAAAGGTCTATAAAAAAAACATACACATATATATATATATACACGCACAAATAAAACCATTGAAACTAGTGACAATCATAAAATCATATGAACCATAAGAAGTGTGCACAGTGGAAAATAAATAAATAAATGGAAAGTTACACATATATAAAAAATAATAAAAATCCTTCCCTGGTGATGCACTGCACTGCTCGCCTTTAATAAATAAATGGATGGATGAGCAACGCTACGAAGCTGCCTAGTGCTCTGCTTGCCATAGACACCATGGGACATGGATTTAATATAGAGAGTAGATCTGAAACCCAGCAGAGACACACTTATTAATTCATAGAGATGCAGCCTACAGGGTGTGTGCTTATCATTCTAGTATAGTCATATGATGAAACGTAGGTATGTGTGGCAATGTAGTGCACCATGGATGGATATGCATATGCAATACTATATACAAGAACAAAGGAGATAAATCACTAGTAAAACATAAATGTTGATATAAAAAGTTACAAACAACTTCTTAATATGGCTCACAAAGTTTAAATAAAATAAAATTAAATAAGTATTGTTACAATATAGTATATAATATCTGGTAAAATGGTATAGTGTATGGTATATGTGTGCATGCATAGACATGGAAGCATAAGAAATATAAATATATAGGAAAAAGAAAAAAAAAAAAAAAAAAATTTTTATAATAAAAATAAAATAAAATAAAATAAAATTCCCCCGGTCCATTTGAGGGCAGCAAGGTGTGCATGTTCCAGGACATTCTTAATGTGGTTGTAGCATCGAGTCCATCCCCAAGCGCAGGAGCATTTGTGTTTAATGAGAGAGTGGGGGCAGGGCCAAGCTGTGGCTCCGTGTGAATGGGCACACACAGCAGCTGTTGCTTCCATAGCAAGCTGTTTGCTGTGGGGGCACGTGACAGGAGGGAGGGACTAGGAGAGCCTGCGGGGGACCCAGGAATAGGAGGATCCAGTCTGTCCTGTGCAAAACCACTACACACAGCAGGTAAGTATAACATGTTTGTTATTTTCCACAAACAATTAACCTTTAGAATCACTTTAAATATCTCTACAAATTCAACAAACTCCTCTAAGGAGCCAGTCCAAATCAGAAACACATCAATGAATCTGCACCAAACTAAGACTTTGCCAAGAATCTCCTGCAAATCTACCCTAAAGAACAGGTCACACTCCCAACCCCCAGGGTGATGTACGATGGGGTACATTTAGTCCCCATCACAATGACCTGCGCCTGAAGGTAGTGGGAAAACTCAAACATAAATATGTTGGTCAAAATAAACCAAAGTAGGTCTAGAATTAATTGATTATAGGGGCCAGCCAGGATCCTTCGCTCCAAAATGAAGCCCTCCACAACCTGAACCCCCATATCATGGGAGATCGAGTTAGAGTGCCTCCACCTCCAGCAGTCAGGCCCCCCACAGGACAAATATCCCATCAAGGGCTCTAGGTAGGTCCATGGTATCCGGAATGTAGGAAGAATGACCTAACACAAGTGTGCAAATAGTCTTCTACCTGTTGACTGGTTCGGTCAAACAGCCTCTCCCAGAGACTATGGGTTGTCCCAGGGAATGGGTCATACTCTTATGAATCTTTGGCATTGCATATAAGGTTGGAGTCCTGGAAATTTTTTAATGTTAGGGCTCCTAAGTATTTTTATTGCTGACATTATTATGGTATGCCCCTCCAATGAGGCTTCTATATTGGCTTATTACACGACCAACAAACCCATCGGCTATCCTCCTATACCACTCTGTTATTGAGGATATCCAACACCATCTGTTCATACTAAATACGATCCATAACCACTAAATTTCCTCTTATCTGAAGGTTTTCTAATGATCCGCATATCTTGTTGCAGAGCAGGGATTGCTAATTGCTGTGCAGGAGTAAGACTGGATAAAGACGGCCCTTTCCATTTTGTTTTTTTTTTAATTTTTTTGGGGCTTGTTTGGTAAACACCCTAATATTCAGATTACCATGGAGTAGTGGTAATGCCTGAGATTTAGGTTTGTATTATTGGGGGGAGGGAAAATCTGACTTCTTTGGAAATTCCCATCAGGGACCCCAATAAGTCAGCGTTAGTAGATGACTCCTCCTCGAAATTACCCTCCCCCCCCATAATTCCATTAAATCATTGAGGGCTTTCATGTATTTATAGTTAGATCTCTCCAATAGGAATTGTCTAGGGATCACGATTTTGAAGTCTGATAGTTTTTATCATACAAAACCTTAAACATTAGTTTCCAAGAAATTAGATGGACATCTTTCATTAGTTCAAATTGATAAATTTTTTGTGTAGGAAAAAAAATGTTAAACCTAAACTCAAAATCTGAATCTGTTCCACTGAGTGAATAGGGAGACAAGTTTATTACTTCGAATTTGGTTTCTTCACCGGAGGTTTTAGATTCTCCACATTGAAGAACGTTTTGGGATCCAGTGCGAAAATCAACCAAAGACATACCCATGTTAGTCTGACTTGCCTTCGTCGAGATCAGTAAGTTTTGTGCTTGAGAAACAGTGGAAAGTGTAGTGCCCGGATAACCAAAAAGAGAGATAATCTTTTGGTGGTATTTAATCACCACCTTGGTTTTTTTTTTGCATTTTCTTTTCTTCATTTCTGTTCTAAAATTTTGCAATAAGTATTTTTTTTCTTTATAAATTTTGGCCAGAATTTATACAGATACATTTCTTTGGTAAAAAATAACCAAAATCTGTGT